TCTATTACCTGACTAATCTCTCTATAAACCCTCACTCTGACTGGTGGACCACATAGGGTTTCAGGTCTATCTTGCCAATGGGTTTCAGCCCTCAGCAAGTTCACTATGGATTCAATGTAACCATGTTCTTGGGGTGAAAGGGTTATAACCAACTTTATTTCCATGGTGGCAGGTCAATCACTAGAATCCCATCCGCTCAGAGTGAGTCTGCGTGCAGCAAGCCAGTCTCTGCCTCTGGGCATCTCTGCACCCGCAGCCATCTCAGTCTCGGTCGTCAGCACTGCCACCACTCCAGCCTCTGCTGTCCTGCAGCCTTGCAGCTGTGCCACCGTGTCTCCCAGAGCACTGGACAGAGTTCTGCATATAGAGTCAATAATAATGTATTGCCCACATGTGTGTAGGGAGCAAGCCGACCAGGGCCAGGTGAGAATCCTGGCCATAGGAACCTTCACCTTTTCCACAGTCCCCAAGACTAGTATTAATATGAGACAGTACCTATTGTACAGAAAATGAAAGTTCCGATGGCCAGGATCCTCACCTGACCCTAATCTACTTGTTGATGTAATCGGCCTACTGCTAGGTTAATGCTTACAATAAGCCAGTATTGCCTGTGTTGCTATATAAAGAGCTCCATCCAGTGTTTGGGGCAGAGCAGAGGCTGGAGGCAAAGGCAGAGCCTGGAGCAGCAAACAGAGTCTAGAGAAGAGGCAAGGGCTGCTAGGCAGGGAGAAGCCCGGAGATAGAGACTGGTTTGCTGCACGCAGACTTGCCCTGAGGCAGATGGGATTCTAGCGCTTGACCTGCCCCCACAAGAATAAAGTTGGGTATAAACTTCTTTACCCTCAACATTCCATTGTCATTTTTCAGTGTTCCAGAATCCAGAGTGAACTTACTGAGGCAGAAAGCCTCAGGCGAAACATTAATAATGCCCCAAAGGTCTGAGTATTTCCTGTTCCCCCTTCACAGTAACTCTGGCAAATGGCTACAGATCTCTCTAGGGAAGACTGAGGGCAGTGATTCTCAAACGTTAGCATGCATCAGAATCACAATAAAGGCTTGTTAAAAACAGATTGCTGGGCCACCCTCAGAGTTTCTGATTCAGTGGAGTTGGGGCAGAGCACGAGAATTTGCACTTCTGAAGTTCCCAGGTGACACTGATGCTGGTCCAGGAAAGACACTGGGAACCACTAACTAGGAGAAAAGATTTATAGAATCCACCTGTGAAAGGGACTCAGGCCCTCCCAATCAAGGGGCTTTATGTCTGGGAAACTGACTTAAATTTTGGTACTGGGTAAAAGACTGAGTCCCCAATAAAATTTGGATCATATTTCTGCCTAGCAGGCCTAGAATGTTTCCACTCATACAGGTCAAGTAGCACATCAGTAAGCTGTCCTTATTCATTCCTAGAGACACTATGATCAATAGCTAGCACCACAGATCCCTGTGGTCAAAGCACATTGATTACCACTTGTCCTTGCAGCTCATATAGTAATTTCATATAGTAATTATAGGTTTGATCTAATTGATCCAGTTAGGTGCCTACATCTGGCCTCCACCATTCAAGGATTCCACTATTCCCCTTGAAATAAGACTGTTCATCCCCAAGAGGGCATCTCCCATCCTCATCGCCTGCCTACTAAGGACGCCACTAGAGTGCTTTTCAAAGAAGCTGGGGTTCCCCTCACCAGTGCCTTTCTTACTGCCTTGGAGAAGGAAGTTTCTTTCAGGGCCCTTCAGAGGGGTCCCATCTGCGGTTGCACATAATAGGTGCATTCCAACAGTCCCATCTCTCTAACCTTCCCACTCCTTTCTCCACTTTGCTTCTCAAAAGTACAGTCTGAGGACCAGTACCATCAACATCACTTAGAAATTTGTTAGAAATGCAACATCTTGGGCTTGATCCCTTCTGATCTACTGAATCGGCATCTACATTAAGACCCCAGGCAAATCATATGCACGTAAAAGTTTAGGGAGCCATGTTCTACAGTATGTCAGTGAGGTTGTAGCATCTTGACTTCACTGATCCTAGCCCACTGTTGAGTCCATTCTTCCAGTAAAATCCAACAGACTATTAACACCACTCCCTGGTGCTCAGCTAATACAGTAATGCCCAAACCCTGGATGAGGGCACCTATATCAATAAATTTGTCCTCACTGGTCCCCAGGATCCTCCCAGTACAGTTGACAAGTTCCTGCAACTCCTTTGGCATATGTGCTCTTGTTCTTAAAGCACATCTTGTAATTCCTGTCTAGGCAAGGTTAGAATCCAACTCTCACTCTGGGCCTGAAGATAATGAGGAGTGATCAGAATGGGTCCTGAAGAGAAAATGCATGCCCTTTGCCAGGGAGGTATTACAAACTAGAAGCTAGAGGGCAAGGTATCCTCAGTAATGCAGTCCTTCATGTCAAGCCTTTCAGAGGACACACAGGGCAGGGAAAAGTGGAGAATAGATGGGAGTAGGACAACAGGGAATAATCAGAACCTCCATAAGCAGAAGGATGGATAGATTCATGGTGTGGATAAAATGAGAGTTCCTGGGGCCAGGATTCTCACCTGGCCCTGGTTGACTAGTTCGCTGCACACCTGTGGGCAATACATGGCTGTCGACTCTATATAAGGAGCTCCGCCCAGTGCTCTGGGTGACACGATGGCAGGACTGCAAGGCTGCAGGAGAGCAAAGGCTGGAGTGGTGGCAGTGCTGAGGATAGAGGCCCAGAGGACAGCTGTGTGGGATGGCTGTGTGAACAGAGGGGCTCGGAGGATGGCTGTGAGGACAGTAGGGCCCAGAGGCAGAGACCGGCTTGCTGCATGCAGACTTGCTCTGAGTGAATGGGATTTTAGTGACTGACCTGCCACCTGGAAATAAAGATGGATATAACCCCTTCACCCCAAGAACATTTTGCTGTCATTTTCTTTGGTCTCATTGAATCCATAGTGAATTTGCCTGGGGCTGAAACCCATTGGCAAGACACATGGAAAGATGAGTAGACAGATGAATTGATGTACATCTTAATGAAAGGATTAAATAGTAATAATGGTTACTGTTTAGTAGTTGGTTTATTTAATGAATGTTTATAATGCATCAGGCTGTAAACTAAGGGCTTTACTCAGAGTACCTCATTTGATCATAAGAGGCACATCTATTACCATTCCTAGTTTATGGATAAGGATACTAAGCCACGGATGCTGGATAACTTGCACATCCCACAGCTAGCAAATGGTGGAATCGGAACCCCAACCTAGGCATGCTATCTATAGTGTCTCCCTCCTCTGCACTGTTCATTGATCAATGGGCGGTTGGCAGCCAGGCAGTGTGATATAGTGATAAAGAATGTAAACCTCAGAGCAAAAAACACCTAAGTTCAAGACACTAGCTGTGTGGCCGTGTGCTCTGAGCATCATGTTCCTTATGCGTTAAACAGAGGTGATAATAAGATAATAAAAACTATTTCATAATTTTGTTAGGGAAGTGAAGCAAATAGTGATGAAGTCCTTGATACAGAGTTTAGCACAAAGTAAATAATCAAAAATACTATTACTGTTAATCAAGACAATTTGGTACTGGCACAAGAACAGAGCCACAGACCAGTGGAACAGAATAGAGACTCCAAACATTAATCCAAACATATATAGTCAATGAATATATGATAAAGGAGCTATGGACATACAATGGGGAATTGACAGCCTCTTCAACAGCTGGTGTTGGAAAAACTGGACAGCTACATGTAAGAGAATGAAACTGGATCATTGTCTAACCCCATACACAAAAGTAAATTCAAAATGGATCAAAGACCTGAATGTAAGCCATGAAACCATAAAACTCTTTAAAAAAACATAGGCAAAAATCTCTTGGACATAATGATGAGCAACTTCTTCATGAACATATCTCCCCAGGCAAGGGGAACAAAAGCAAAAATGAACAAGTGGGACTATATCAAGCTGAAAAGCTTCTGTACAGCAAAGGACACCATCAATAGAACAAAAAGGCATCCTACAGTATGGGAGAATATATTCATAAATGACAGATCCAATAAAGGGTTGACATCCAAAACATATAAAGAGCTCATATACCTCAACAAGCAAAAAGTGAACAATCCAATTAAAAAATGGGCAGAGCTGAACAGACAGTTCTTCAAACAAAAAATTCAGATGGCCAACAGACACATAAAAAGATCCTCCACATCGCTAGTCATCAGAGAAATGCAAATTAAACCACAATGAGATATCACCTCACACCAGTAAGGATCGCCACCATCCAAAAGACAAATAACAACAAATGTTGGCGAGGTTGTGAAGAAAGGGGAACCCTCCTACACTGCTGGTGGGAATGTAAATTAATTCAACCATTGTGGAAAGCGGTATGGAGGTTCCTCAAAAAGCTCAAAATAGAAATGCCATTTGACCCAGGAATCCCACTTTCAGGAATTTACCCAGAGAATGCAGCAGCCCAATTTGAAAAAGACAGATGCACCCCTATGTTTATCGCAGCACTATTTACAATAGCCAAGAAATGGAAGCAACCTAAGTGTCCATCAGTAGATGAATGGATAAAGAAGATGTGGTACATATACACAATGGAATATTATTCAGCCATAAGAAGAAAACAAATCCTACCATTTGCAACAACATGGATGGAGCTAGAGGGTATTATGCTCAGTGAAATAAGCCAGACAGAGAAAGACAAGTGCCAAATGATTTCACTCATCTGTGGAGTATAAGAACAAAGGAAAAACTGAAGGAACAAAACAGCAGCAGAATCACAGAACCCAAGAATGGACTAACAGTTACCAAAGGGAAAGGGACTGGGGAGGTTGGATGGGAAGGGAGGGATAAGGGGGTGGGGAGAAGAAAGGGGGCCTTACAATTAGTATGTATAATGTGTGTGTGGGAGGCACTGGGAGGGCTGTGCAACACAGAGAAGACAACTAATGACTTTACAGCATCTCACTACACTGATGGACAGTGACTAATGGGGTATGTGGGGGGGGACTTGGTAAAGGGGAGAGTCTGGTAAACATAATGTTCCTCATGTAATGATACCAAAAAAAATACTATTACTGTTATTATTATTAATGGATGGAAAGAAAGATAAGTCAGAAACTTATGGGGGAATATCCACCCCACCTTCCAGAAGAGTGTCCAGGTCTCATGGGGGTGGGGGTGTTGAATGGGAGTCCCACATATTAATTCCCCTTTTGACACCTTTTCTGGTCTACCTCTGGTCTTATATGGATGGGAAATAACTTCTCCCCTCCCCCACATGTCAATTCCTTGAAATTTGGGGATTTGTCTGAATATGAGCTGGCCAGCCCCTCTCCTTAGAAATCCCCTCTTGGTTCCCAGGATTGAGAGGAGGGGAAAGATGAAGGGCTTTCCAGGCCAGGCTCCTTCCAGCTGTTCCTTTGACCAGGTGTTGGGCATATGAACATGGTAAATAGAGAAAGGGGCAGTGTTTGTTGAGCCAGGAGGTTGAATCCCAGAGGTCTGAGACTGGCACAGGGTGCTGGGCCTCCTTCCTAGGAACGTTCCCTTTCAGCTCTGCTTGTCCCAAGGGAGTGACTGGTTCCCAGATGATCAAAAGCAGGCACTGTGATGACCTGGGAGACTCCCCCAGGCTCCCGGTTGTTCTGAGGGCACCAGGGGTCTTCTTCCCCACCACCTGCACTGGAAAGAAGAGAAGAGGGTGAGGTTGAAGGATAAAGCTAGGGGGGGCTCCTTCACTCTGGCCCCCCATCCTGACCATCACCGTTGAAGGCCAGCCCTCTGGCTGATGATACAAATGCCCCCAGTGAGGTGACAGTGCAGACCCTCTCTCTGGAGCTGACTTCTCAAGGTCCCTTTCTCTTGGCCAGACTGCAGACTGCTTAGATTCTCAGAGCCAAAGCCAAGGAAAGCAGAAGGGGGAGCTGCTAAGGGAGGAGAGGGAGAGCAGGGTCAAGTTTGGTCAGAAAGAGGGGGGCAGGGGAATCCACAGAATAGATGTGGAGGGGAATTTCTGAGCAGAGAAAGAGAAAGTCCTGGGCCATAAATAGGAGGCAGTTACAGCCTCACACAGGCTTCCACACTCATTCTTTCAGGCCCACTCAGGCCCCACAGGACGCCTCTGGGCTTCCCATTGCGCCCTCCCACTCCCAGCCGAGTCTCAGCCTCACAGCCTCCGGCACAAGCCCAGAGTCGCTGACGCTCACACACGTGCTGTCAGTCGGCCTCTGCCATCCTCCATGGCGTCCCACGCTGCCACACTCCTGACCCTCAGCCTGCTGATTCTCTGGACCTCCCCTGGTAAGGCTGAGGGGAGGCTTTGGGTGGGAGCAGTGCAGGGGGTAACTATCTAGATCTTAGACCACTTGGTGCTGGACAGGAGGGACACCACAAGTAAGTCTCCATGTCTTAGTGAATCTGGGGGTTCCCCATGCTCTGCATGTGCCTGTGGGTGTGGGTGTAACTGGGCCTCTGAATTCCAGTGTTTCTGTCCCTTGGTGTATCCCAGTGCCTGTGGCTGCCCCTCTCTCTCGGGTACTATTTCCTGCTGCCTCAGTTTCCCAGGCAAAGGAGAGAACAGTGTATGTTAGCTGAAGGTGGGAAGAATGGCAGACATTGAGGCAGGACACTGAGCAACACTCAAAATATTTGGCAATTCAGAAGTCCTCTAACCCCAGCATCCTGCTATCCCACCTCCCCTGTCCATCATGCTGTGACCAGCATTAGCTCTTCATTTGTGGGGAAGTTGAGAGGTCCTGGGAGAGAGGTTGGGGCAATCAGAGTGGCAGGAAAGTATCTGTGGGGCTCAGGGCAGTGGTCATTTACCAAACAGCTCCGCAGTACTTCAATACACTTGGCAACCAGTCCCCGTGTATTGATGCATACTGGCTGAAAACCAGGTCTAGCAGCCTCCACACACACAGGTGTCCTTGATCCCAGTTAGGGCTGTGCCCCCCACCCATCTCCAGGGTCCCTGTGTCCTGCCACTGCCTTCTTCCCCTACTCCTACCCCAGCTCTGGGTGGTACCAATGACACGGAAGACTGCTGCCTGACTGTGAAGCAGCGCCCTATCCCTGGGAACATCGTGCAAGCCTTTCGCTACCTCCTCCTCAAGGATGGCTGCAGAGTACCTGCTGTTGTGTGAGTTATGGGAGAAGCATGTCTAACCTCTTCTCCCCCATCAGCTGCTGCTGATACCCCAACTTATCCCTCTTCTCCTTGCCAAGACCAACCCCTTCAAGGAAGTCCCTGAAACAGGTCCACAGATATGGCCCCCAGCCTCTGGCCCTCACACCAGGGCCTTCCAGGCAGCTGAGTTTCAAGGCTCCTTTCTCTCTGACCTCTGACTCCAGGTTCACCACTGTGAGAGGTCGCCAGCTCTGTGCACCCCCAGACCAGCCCTGGGTGGCCCGCATCATTCGGAGACTGCAGAAGGCCTCTGCAAAGGCAAGCCCAACCCTCCCCAGCCCTGCCTCCTCCCTCCAAGGCCCTGCCCAAGACCCCCACCCATGACCTTGCCTCTCCTTTCTCCCCCAGAACAAGCGCAGTTAGCCCATGACAGCCTCAGAGGGAACCCTATGACTGAGGGAAGGGATGTGCATCACCACAGCCCTGGGGAGCCAAGGACCAGAAGGGAAGACAAGGCCTCCTGCTCCTCTGCACTGGACCTGGCCCAGCCAGAGCAGGGCCTGGAGTGTCAGTGTGAGCATGAGCATGAGTGAGCATGGGTGTGGCAGGAGCACAGCTTCTCCACACGGACTGCAGTACTTCCAATAAAGTCCAACTGGCACCCACAGATCTGCTTGTCTGCTGTCTGTCCAGGAGGATCAAGATAGGGAGGGGGAGATGAAATGGCAGGATCTACTTCCATCCTGCAGCTTGAGCACCACCCTCATGGACCGCCCCCTGACACCCTGTGTCCTCAGGACCTGCTCCCACAATCTGCACCCCAGTTCTTGTCTCCTCGCAGCCCTATCCACGGTTCAGCAATGCTAAACCTGAGTGAGCGAGTCAGTTCCCTGAATAAGTCAAACTCATTGCTCCCAGTCTTTGCTCTGAAAGGCAGGTGTTCCCAGTATTCAAGCATCCAGGTGTCTCAGAGATTGGGTGTCACTGGGGGGAAGGGAGCTGTGGGAACCAGCTCTCCGGCCGGGCGGGGGAAGAACAGGAGACCCAGCTTTACTGCCTGGGTGGAAGGCATCCAGCCAGCCACGGCATTCCTTCCCCTGCAACACTCTTCTTTCTCTTCTTCCGAAGGTCTTCTCTGATTCCACGCTGGGTTAGGTGGCCTCCTTCCCTCCCAGTCTCCCAGGGTCCCCTGCACCTCCCCTTGCAGCACTCATCCCACTGAGTTACAACTGCTACTCTATCAGCTTTCCTGGACGTGGATTGTGTCTACTTAGGTTTCCACTGTTACCCTTATGTCCAGCACACCGCTTGACACAAGGTAGTCACTCAATAAATATTTGTCTAGAGAATGAATAAATATGCAAGGAAAGGCTCAGCAGCCAGTGGTGAGGGCCCATCTGTTCATATAGAATCTGACCTCCAGGCCAGCCCTCCTCTCTTGCTCTGTGTATCCGGGCTATCATGGGGCCGACCTCCTCAGGGATCCTGACAGACAAACCTTAGAACCAGAGGGCAGAGCAGGAGAGGGCGCAGGAGAGAGCAGGAGAGGGTGGAAGGAGCAGCCAGGGAGCTAGGGAGATTCAGCAAGGAGGAACCCCACCCCACCCCGCAGCCACCCACATGGGTGCCAGGGCCAAGGCAACATGGAGACCAAGGGAGTAATAGGGAAGGAGCCTCAGCTCGGGAGACGAAAGCCCTGCTCTCGGGAGCACTGAATTCCTTGTCCTTGGGAAGTCTCCTGGGGAAGCTGGCTGACGCTCCTGGCTATGGCCTCTAAAGGCCTGTCCCACTGGGAGCAGCAAGTATGTGCCATTGGGGTTGGATGGCTAGGACGCTGGACTCAGCATCCTCGCCTAGGAAAAGAGCCTTCATCATACTAGATATGCCTCATCTGGTAACAAAACCGAGCCTGGGCAGGCCTGGGAAGGGGAGCAGCAGAGAAGAAGTTGTGCCAGCCCCTCCTCACTGAGCTGACAGCATGGCAACTTCTTCCTCTCCTTTGCACCTAGAAGTAATTATTCAAAACTTCAGATATCCCAGGACTTGGAGTCACAGGGAGTGGGTGGGATGAGGATAGTTTCCAAGAACAATGCTATCTGGGAAGTTCAGCTGTGCTCCTAGGGGAATCCATTCAGGCGCCCATGCATCCATCCATCTAGCTTTCCTTGCATCCATTCATCCATCCACCCACCTGTCCATCCATTAATCCACCCATTAAGTCAGTCAACCATGGAATTCCAGAGGTCCCAGCTGTGGACACTCTTTGGACCCTGTATCTTGTACACCAACAGACAGAGGACAAACACAGGGGTAAGGGAGCACACTGCCTCAAATCCTTCTCGGTTCCCAGTGAAGCAGAGGAGAGGTCAGCCGGCCATGGAGGTGGCCACAAACCCTCCCTCTGGACTCTTGGGGGAATACCCAGATACCGAGGTGTGTGTGTGTGTGTATGAGCCCTGAGGAAGGTGTTACTGGGACAGAGGCCCTGAACACCATGTCCCTGACACTGCCACTGGAGGGGTTCAGGAACAAATCCTGAGCTCAACACCCAGCCCCAATTCCACAGTCCTGTTTGTGTCCTGCCCTGTGGAACTCCAGTCATGTCCTTTCCTCATCCCCCCCAATCCAAGGCCTTAGTTCTCCCACCTGTCAGGTGTGGGTAAGGGGGATTTAACTTAAGAGTCCCTCCAAAGACTTCGCTCATGAATCTTTGGGTCTCAGGCTAAATCCCAGCGTTCACTCAGACTCCCCCAAGTCCTGCACATACAGAAATGTCCCTATTCCCTGAGGCCCTGGGGACCACCCCTTGGGAACAAAGAGGAAGTTGAGGCTCAGGAAGAGAGAAAATAATCCAGGAGCTAGTGAAGGGGCTTGGAGTGAACAGCCCCCTGCTGGACTCTGGAGGCCTCAGGAAGGAAGAATTTTGAGGAAGCTGAAGGGAAGCACACAGAGTACAGCAGGGAGCAGGCAGCAACCCCACCACCCTCCTCCAGCCAGTGCCTTTCATCCCAGCTTTCCCCCTCCCTCTTCTTCTCTCCACCAACCCCTCCTGGTCACTGGATTTTACCTCCTTACTTTCCTGCCAGTTACATGAGGGCTTGACCCAGCAATCTGTAACTTGTCCCGACCCGCTCAAACATTCTCAGCACTGAGACTTCATCTAGTCAACACCTACTCCGTTTCACCGATTCACTGATGAGTGCTGTGTCTTTATTTATCCTGAGTTCTGGTGGGCCAGAAGCCCATCTGCCTACCTGACAATAGTGAAGCTGCCAGCTCTCTGGGGTGGCATGGGCTTCTAGCCCCCGACCAGTATCCTGAGGCCTCACTGCCTGCCTCTAGGTAGACACCTTCCTCTCTAGGCACATGGCACCCACTCCAGGTTTAAGGCCAGCAGCTGAGTGGTACCTCCCTACCCCAAAGCCTGTGGTCCCAACAGCCAGCATCTCCCTAAAGGGACCTGACATTCCTGCTCAGAGACCTTCCATCTTTCCTGTCCTATTGATAAGAGTTCCCAAGGGAAGGGACAGGCCTGTCCATCTATCTCCATTGC